AAGGAAAAGAAAAGAAAAGAAAACCTGGAGAAAATTGGTTGGTACCTTGCCTTAGGAACTGGAATAGGAGGAAGTCTCTTTAGATTAATGGGGAGATAGGATTGGATGGTGCTGGTTGATGATTTTTAGTTGCGTCGGTCTAGAGGGCAGCTGACAAGCTTTTCCCTCCAATCAGCCTCCACTCAAAGGTGTCGTTCATTTCCCTGTCACTGAAGCTGGAGGAGGGGTCAATTGATTAAAAGAATGCAAGTCGCCACCTCTGTGCAGTGTGCACCCCTGTCCCATAAGAGACGATTGGGTTTGAGGGACCGGAGGAATCACCCAAAGGAGATGGCAGCATGGAAAGAAGATTTTTGCCTCTCCGTCCTACCATGGCGGAAGACATGGGAACTGAGCTGTTGGCTGGCTTTTGGGTTTCTGGCCATTTTTACTAACTACTGTAAGAACTACTAGGTAACTAGTACTACTGAGAGGACTAATACTAGTCTCACTTCGGGTCTCGGCCCCAGTCCAATGACGATCCAATGTCCTGCCAAGCATGGGGAAATTTGGGGAAAGTAGGCGAAGGGCCCGGGGTTGCATTCCATCCGCTTACTCGACTTCTTATTCCCTCCCCCCTCAACCAATCCAACCCATCGCTGATATCGCAATGATTGGAAAGGCATGAGCTTGCAATTCCTGCCTCGGTTGAAGGATGATACTGCTGATCATGAGCAGAACAACGGTAGGACGTATCCCATATCTGTTTCGTGCATGCTGGTGTGTTTCAAGGTAAATCCCCGGAACGCTGCCTCAATTTTTTGTGCGAGTCCGTGTCCTAACTACCCTGGCAGTGGTCCGCCGTCGTGATCTCCACATGGCTTCCCTATTTAGCAATAGCTCAATGATTCTGCATGGGGATCTGGGGCCGACTGGGACCCAAAAGCCCAAGTTCCGCGGTGCTTGACCTGGATTCTTTGAGAAGTACACATGTGAAGATCCGCCACCTCCCGATAGTCTTATAGATAGAGCATAAGCCATCTAACGGCCCTGCCTTCCATGCCCTAATCCGATTTTCTCGTTTTTGGTTTCGGTCGGAGACGTCTTTTGTGCTTGTTGATCACTCTGCCACGTTTCTACCCAACTTACTCTGTGTGCAATTGTGAAGGTATGTCATCGTCATGATTACTCAATGTGGCTTTTATTTCCCTTTGTCCATTTTTTTCCTTTTCTTGTCGTTGTCAAAAGTTTCCGAGAGTATTCTTGACGGTGTCATTAACGATATAATGCCTTCTGTAGCCCCCCCTTCAAGCAAAACAAGTGAGGAAAGTCTCAGCCGGTACTAAACGCGAGAAAAAAACTTGGTATGACCCCTTTCAGCTTCTCCGGTCCTTTTCTCGGGAGGTGCCTCCTAACATGGCGGGTGACAGGGCTGCCTGTGTGACAGGCCTTAGCATCAGTTCAATTCGGTCAACCTCATCGAGGTCCAGCGACGCGAGATGTCGAACGACAAGCCTGAAGTTACTGAGGTAGGCATGGTGACCTCACCCACTGCCACAAAGCCTAGCTTCAAAACTCGCGTGGCGGCCCATTTCAAGAAATGGTGGTGGGCGCACCTCATCGCATTCATTGTAGTCGTGCTCGTCGTGGCCCTTCCGGTGTATGTTCAATCCTTGTAAAAATGGCCTTCTCCAGCGGAGCCCGTCTGACAGCATCGCTCAAATAGGGTATATGTCGGCTATCCGAACATCGCACAGGGCGACATCAACGACTCGAAATTGGAAGTCAAGTCGATGACGATCAGTGAGCCGACACCGAATTCGTTCCATGTGAACCAGGAGCAGGTCATCTGGACGGACAGCATGTATCACCCAACCATCTATAGCTTTAACGCAAGTGTTGGCCTGCTAGGCGCAGCCCCGTTCGGCATCGCGACTATTCCGCAACTCAAAGCGACGGACGGGGTCGAGGTGCATGTAGACCAGCGCCTAGACTTGACTGATGTGTCTGCATTTGGCGACTTCGCCATAGCGGCGATGCAGAATGAATATCTCGGCCTCAATGTTTACGGGAAGCCGGACTTGAAGCAGTCAGGTTTGCACAAGATCAGCGTGACGTATAACCACACCGCTACTATGAAGGGTACGCCTGCAGATAAACGTTCTCATTGCTTTAGCCATACTCAACTAACCGCATGAAAGGCCTTAACAAGCTAAAGGGATTCTCGCTGTCTGGCATGCATCTTACCACGAAGGCATCCGACGGAACGAACACTGAAGGACAGGTTCTGATCCCCAACCCGTCGGTGATGACGATCAACTTGGTATGTACTATGATTTGATTTCCTCCGTTCTTCTTGTACGCAGAACCCGCGAACTAATGGCTGCAGGGCAATGTGACCCTTGATCTCTCCGTGAATGGAACCGCCATTGGCACATCGTACATCCAGGATCTGGTATTGAAACCTGGTGATAATAAATTTTCCATGAGAGCCAAAGTGGACCAACTGGCCATCATTGGTATGATGTCGAAATATCCAGGTACGGTTGTCCCCGTGGATATCACGGGCTCCGAGACCAACTCGAGCGTGTACGATGGCCAGGCTCTTCCATACTTCTCGAGGGCTTTGGCATCGAACAAGCTACGGGTTGATCTGAACATTACCGAGGTGGTTGGTTCGAGTGCGGGTTCGAGCTAAAAGGGCATCGCCATGTATATTCTGCTGACCATCACCCGTTTTGGTCATTGCGACTACACTTTTACTGTTCCATTTGTCTTACTTGTGTCTTGGAGCCCTACAGTTGTGCCGATGACGTCTTTAATTGTTCTTGATACCATTCTAATGTAACCGCGATGATCCGACTGCTTGATGATGGGAGGGTGGTCCGGATTGATTTATTCTTCACGTTTCTTCATATCTCATCAGAACAGCATTTGAGTAGCTACACGTGTATATCACTCAACGCTGAGACTCCCTTGCTCAGTGGCTGTTTCTTGTTATAATAGTGCTCGCTACATATACAAACCAATCATATTTGGGAGCAGTTTGACCAGACGCAAAGTCTGTTTGGTTACCCATTTTATATCCATTAGACTTGTTTTGGTTTTTGATTTTTTTCTTCAAACGGCCAGAATGTCGAATAACTTTTGAGACTTCACCTCGGCGAGGCCGGCATTTTCAATAACAATATCAATACAAGTCAATCACACTGGGTGTGGTACAACCTTGTGGTAAAGTATGGTTAAATCCAATGGTTCATTGATTAAAGTTCCCGCACCGAGCTTGTAGTACCGTCGATCGCCCCCTTAAGATGATCCAATGGATTGGGGGAGGTGTTACTTAAACCAGCACCAAGGTCTAGACCAGCCGTCGACTCTCAAAATCAAATAGTCAGAAAAAAAAAAAAAACCTATCGTCGTCCCCGAGTCCCGGGGTTTCGGCCTGTCCGATGGACAGTATCTACTACTTGGAAGTAGTTACATCCGGTAGCATATCGACGGTGTCATCTCCTCCACGTGTAACTTTATTCGAGGGGGATGGCCAAACGTGGAAATAGTCGGGGCAATGGTTGACTTGGTTGCTGCCTTGGTATAGCAGATAATATCCACTGGAAGAACGTGCCTCTTGGCTTTGTCCGCTTCGAGGGTGGTCAAGTAGATTGCTCTGGGTCGTCGAGTTGTACTCTTGATACTGAGTAATATATATTGTTATTATTATTTATTTATTTTTTTTCACTTTTTAGGTTTCGGTAGCCATGCCGGGTGTTGGCATCGGGTTTATATGAAGATTGTCATAGTTAGCAGTGCTATTTGCTACAGATTCGAATCCTGCAGTGCTGGAATGACGTCGGTAACCGCTACACAGCCTCAATAATCCGTTGATATTGAGCATCAGGATAAGGGTAATCGTCGGAATGCGTCGAAGGAGGTTCCTATCGGCTCCCCGCCGAGATAAGGACAAGCACTTGGCGATCCACTCGATAAATCAACATTGTTCTTACAACTTGCTACGACTAATAGCCGACGATGGAGTGACCTTATCGCAGGATGTGACCAATTGAACGTATTCCCCAGGGTGAACTTGAATTCTTCAACTAGCTCAAGACAAATACCGTGAACAGCACGAGGTTAAGAGGCCGACATGCCCCGAAAGATGATATCGGATCTTATCAGACGGCGATATTAACATATCATATTGATTGGCGAAGATCACTGGATCCAATTACCTAAATATTTTCCGGAGTTACCCCAACAAGAGCCATGCCCTGATGGATATGCGCTGATCCCACCCTTCTCTCCCCCTAAATCAACTATGCAGTTGGAGTATGTCTCTCGCATCACGATCCTCGCATGCTTCAAAGACAGATGCCAAGACGAATTGGAGTTTCTCCAAGACCTTGGTGCCTGGATTGGCTCCATTGATATGCGATTCTCATTACGTGAAATGCCTCATCTATGGGAAACCACTTTCGCTGTGATCTTCTTACTGCGCCACTTATCTGGCGTAGACAACCATGTATCGAATGCGTGGGTTTCTCCACGATAAGGCAACTATCACCAATAATTCTTTCTTGGTAGACGACGGGGAATAAATCGGCCAACGCGTGTGAAAGGGCCGGACTTGGACGCACTATATAACTGACAGGTCTTCCAAAAATGTTGGTTCTGTTCTCCAGAGCAAGCTCAACTTTCAATTCCCTCTTCAAAGCTCTGAGCAACCAAGCAGCAGGATGGGTCTCACTTTCAAAGCTCTTGCCGTGTCGGCCTTGGCTGCTATCAGCCATGCTTCGCCTCTCCTGTATCCTCGAGCCACGGACTCGAACATCACCTATGTGTTCACCAACCCCAATGGTCTGAATTTCACGCAGATGAACACCACCCTGCCAAACGTCACCATCTTCGCGACAGGTGCACACTCCCCTAACCTATCCCACAAGTCCCCTCTCCACCGAAACAGAAACTAAACAGAGAAAAACAGGCGGCACAATCGCCGGCTCCAGCGCCGACAACACCGCAACAACGGGCTACAAAGCCGGCGCTGTCGGGATCCAAACGCTGATCGATGCAGTCCCGGAAATGCTGAATGTCGCTAACGTTGCCGGCGTGCAAGTAACCAACGTCGGCAGCCCAGACATCACTTCCGACATTCTCCTGCGCCTCTCCAAACAGATCAACGAGGTCGTCTGTAATGACCCCACCATGGCCGGTGCAGTCGTCACCCACGGCACTGACACGCTCGAAGAATCTGCCTTCTTCCTCGACGCCACGGTCAATTGCCGCAAGCCCGTGGTTATCGTCGGTGCCATGCGTCCGTCAACCGCCATCTCCGCCGATGGCCCCCTCAACCTCCTGCAATCCGTCACCGTTGCCACAAGCCCCCAGGCTCGAGACCGTGGCGCCCTGATCGTCATGAACGACCGCATCGTCTCGGCTTTCTACGCCTCCAAGACGAACGCTAACACCGTCGATACCTTCAAGGCCATCGAAATGGGTAACCTGGGCGAAGTCGTCTCCAACAAACCCTACTTCTTCTACCCTCCGGTCCAGCCAACAGGCAAAACAGAGGTAGATATCCGGAACATCACCTCCATCCCTCGAGTCGACATCCTCTACTCATACGAAGACATGCACAACGACACCCTCTACTCCGCCATCCAAAACGGCGCAAAGGGCATCGTCGTAAGTCTCCTACTCACTCCCACCCTGAATATTAACCCTATCCTTCAAGACCAACCCCGAAATCTCTCCTCCACAACCACCAAAATACTGATACACAGAAACAGATCGCCGGCTCCGGCTCCGGCTCCGTCTCCACCCCCTTCAGCGCCGCCATCGAAGATATCACCACCGAACACAACATCCCCATCGTAGCCAGTACGCGCACCGGAAACGGGGAGGTGCCGTCCTCTGACGAGTCGAGCCAGATCGCAAGCGGGTATTTGAACCCTGCGAAGGCGCGCGTTCTGCTTGGTTTGTTGCTCGCGGAGGGGAAGGGCGTCGAGGAGATGAGAACGGTTTTTGAGCGGATTGGAGTTGCTTGAAATTTTTTTTTTTTTTTTTCTTCTACTGATTGAGTTTGCTTGGTTGGTTTGGGCTCTGGGGTTGAGGGCTGTGTATTATATAGAGATTTGATGGTTATTTTTTCCCCTGGGAGGGGGGTTGTATATAGATTATAGAGTTATGGATGGGATAGATTATAGATTTTATAGAGATTTTGTTGATTTGGGGTTTGGGTGTGGTTTCTGGTTCTCTTTTTTTCTTTACGTATGGGTGTTGAGCTTCCCAATTGGTGCTTTGTTGTTGTGTAGTAATGGTTTGCTTCCATAAAAGAGATAATAACCATTATGGAAACTTTGTACTTCATAATGTTCGTTCCGTATTGTAGTCGCAGAATCAAAGATAAGATACCATTGTATCTGGAGGAAAATTAAGGATCGAACTAGATACTAGTATAGTAATTCTAAGTATATGAAAGCTTATGCGCCAGACGGTCTGATCCGCGACAGGGATTCGGAGCCTACTAGTTCGTAAGAGTAAAAGGTTCATTCAATGCATTTCTTTCATACCTGGTATTCTGACACAGTAATAATAAACACTAGACACGTAGACCACCGCCTTTTTTTTTTTTGTTCCTCGGATTTCTTTTCTGTTGTGGTTGTTGCTTTTTGTTTGGGCTTTTCTTATCTCTCCGCGCTTCGAGTGGGAAATTTCGACAAACCGCTACATCTCATGTAGCGTGTTATACCCTGTCTCGATCAAACTCCGCGGACCGCGTGCATCCCCTCCGATATGCCAATAGAATAATCCTCCCAACTTCGTCTTGGTCGCAAACCTGGCCTTCTGCTGCACGGTCCGCGGCGTATCATAGGTTACGAACCCGCCATCACCACCAGAGCAGTACGCCGCGCCAAGTTTGTCATCATGATGCTCTTTAGCGCCAGGACGGGGCAAATCACTATAATCGAACACGCCATCCTCGCCACCCGTACCAGCATACCGTTGACCGGGTTTCTCGCTACCCAAAAATGACCGGCCGTAGGCAGGGACTCCGAGCAGGATTTTCTTCGGATCGACCCCCTGCGAAAGCACATATTGCACACTAGATTGGCAAGAGACAGCGCCCGGATTCCGAGAAGGACTGTACAATTGCGCATGGTGTCCGCTCTCGTTCGTCCAAGGTCCGGCAAAATCGTACGTCATAAGATTAATCAAATCGAGGTACATAGAAGCCTTAGAGAGATCGATATTCCGGAGAGCCCATTGGCCTGCCGGAAGACACGTTGCTAATACGAATCGCGGCAAAGGCAGTGCTTCCCGCAGCTTTGCTAGTAGTCGGACGTAGTCCATGCCTTGCTGTGGGTCGGCGGGGTGTTCCCAGTCAACTGGCAGGGCATTAGTAATATGTCCATGGTTAGTTGAGGAAGAAGGAGTTGATGCATACTGTCGAGGCCGTCCAGGCCGAATTGATCTACCAGCGCTCTGGCCGTGCGGACAAATGTCTCAGTGCGCGATTGACTCCGCGCCACGAGAGCGAAGTTCTCGCTTCCCTTGCCGCCTCCGCCGACGGAAAGAATGACTTTCATCTTGGGGTATTGCGGTTTTAGTTGCGTGAAGGCCCGGAGACAGCCCTGCGTGCCATCCACGGGCATTTGCGAATCGGCCCATTCATCGCTTAACTATACATTTAGATCTGCGGTTAGCGTGGGATCTTTCTGATGATGAAGAAATTTTTATCTTTTTAAAAGGAAACTAAGTAAAGGAAAATCGGGTGGGAGATCCACATATACGGTGCCGTCTTCTTTGACCCTAAAACAAACAAAACGTCTTGGTTAACATCTGTACTTTTGTATATGTATGTACCCGGGCCAAGGGATTGGGGTTCCCTCGGTCTGATGTATGGCTGTACTACCAAGCAAATGCGTAGAAGATATGAGAGACAAATCCCAGTCTGAGCGATGAAGGAGGTTGTTTTCGGTATATCCGCCAATTGGGATAATAAGCTGCGTTCATGTAGTATGGAACCTCATACGAGCTGTTGCTGGAGCGTTCCGCCGCTTTGCGACGCCAGTGGGGGAAAAGACCGCCGGACAATGGCATGATGGTAGCATACACTCAAGATGAGGGATTTGAGAGGAAGGAGATGTTGTAAAGAGAAGATAGCGGATTTGGAGAGAATGGACGAAAAGAAAAATAATTAGAAAATTAAAAGAAGGCCCACAAGCACCAACAATCATGAAAAAATAAAGTGTGCGAAAAGCAACTTCCCTATTAAGGACAATGTCACGTGTGGGGGATGTTTCTTTGCTTTGGTGCGGTTGAAATGGTTCTTTCTTAGTTCGTGATCTACTCGTATTGTGCTGGGGTGATTTTTTTAAAAAAAGAACAGACAAGGGAAAGAGAAAGCGAAGCCCCTCCCCCCAAAGGTGAGGTATTTTGAGGAGGTGTGAATCAAAGAAGGCAACCAAAGTCAGTGCTCAGCGACTTTCCATGACCGTCGACGACAGAAGAGTGACATAACATCTGCTGCACAATGCACGCTGATTGAGAGACCGTGCATTAAGTCTTTACTTGTAGCCAGTGCTGGAAAATGACGCTTTCACTTTTTCTCTCTCACCCCGAGCCTAAGACTCCATCCCCGGACAATAAGATTCTATTTATCCTTCTATTGCAGGGTTGCAAGAGGACCGTGTCAATCTGGGCCTCTGACGGTACCATGCTCATTCGTGGACCAGCCACAAGGTCAGAAACATATCGAAAGGGACTTTCGATCGGCAGCAGCTTCCAGAGGGTCTAAAATCCCGGATTACGCTCACCCCACCTTTCGGTGTCTGTTCCGTCGACTGATAGTCATTGGGTGCCCCGGAAGCTTCATAGGTGAAGTACTAGGCAAAGCACGCGGGTTTGGAAGTGCTGAGAAGACCGTTCCGGGGCTTTTCGATGAAGATCTGCCCACGAGTCCAGTAGCAACGGATTAACCCCCAACCTCATTGTAAGATTTGGGTGGATCAGTGGCAGAGGGCTGCGCGTTGCGGGCTGACTTGGTAATGGTATAGTATAAGACGGGGAACCACCACGACCTTAGGTAAGATCAGTTATGCAAATGCCATAATAACAATATCACTGGTGCTGGGATGGAACTCTTTCAGATGTTTCATAAATAATGAGCACTGTCGATCGATTAAGTGGGCTTCAACTGGGGCAAGGGAGGAAAATAATAGTTTTTTTCTTTTATCCTTATTTATTTATCTATTATTATTATTATTATTATTTTTTTTTTTTTTGATTGCTTTGGGTCTTGGATTTGCTTTTTTTTACCCCATAAGGTTTACTTACTTTTTCTTACTCGTTCGAGGCTGTGGAGAGAACTGCAGACTAGTAATTAGTCGCTTTTCCACCCCCGCATGACGGATTGCAAATGATGATGCTCCATGCGTGGATATGACTGGGTCTCTTTGAGCTCAGGGATCACTCATGCATCAATCATCCCAAGCCATGCACCTGACCATTGGGGTGCAGGCGAAAGTCTGACGATGGTTGGAGTGATCGCCGCAAGTTCCTTTTCGGAACCCTAAATGGAAGGCCCGGGCCATAACCTCCGTCCATACCAACCCAACCCATTGTGAGTTGAACCACCAGTTCTATCATAATGCTTCAGAACTAATGATGTCCGTATGTATTTATATATCGTACAACAACAATGGATTGTCCACAATTTTCCGACGTGTTACACACGGAACATCAACGCCAGAGTCAGACCCGCCAGGCAGACCATGTGACGTTGTGACTTCCTAGGATGTCTCGTATGCAGGGGCAGCAACACCGGTGTTTACGTCTGCAGCCATGCCGTAACCCCCAAGGCCAGATCTGCAATCCTCTTTCTTCTTTCTCTTTTCTCTGGTAACGTTTCTTTTCCTTTTACCCCTTAGACTAGGACCTAGGTAGTCGGTTGTCGTACTCCCGCTATTGAACCTAAACCGGGTAATCTTTTGCGTGACGTCGAAATGATTGGGTCTAATTCGCTTAAGAATCTTGAGGTATACCTCGAGGATCCATGTCCGATCGGAAACATTTACGAAGTATTGCTAATTCAGCTAGTAGACTCCCTGAATTCTCAGCTGCTAAGGCTCCAAGGCGCTAAGTATGCACGTGATTGCACGATCAACTATACACACAAGGTTTATACCTGATATGGTTTAAACTCTCCCCAGATGTTCGAGAGATTAGTTGTATTGCGATCTGGTTCAGGTTTCATTATACGTCCTGAGTTTCATATTCGGAAGACCTAATGACTAACTACGGCAACGGCAGATCTCTGGAGGAATAAGTGGGTAGGTTGAGATTGGGCTGGTCCAAATGGGAACTCAGAGGAAGAACTATGGATCGGAAGTAGAATGTAGAGCCGTAGAACCTGATATACTATAGATTTTTAGGCTACTTTAGACCCTCGTCTCTTCGAAGACCTCCCAAGAGAGAAATAATAAATATTGTCTCCTCCTCTCTTTCTCTTGCTCTCCTTTACATTTTCTCCCTAGGTTCAAACCGTTGCCTCGACCCAGCTGGCTATTTAGCAAATTGACAGTCGCTAAACCGAGGGTATTTCAGTTTCTCACTTATACAGTTGGATCGGACCTTACTCTGTCCTGGGATTACTAGTCTTGTTGGAGCCTAGCCAGGCACCAAAGGCAGGACAGCGTCTATATAATATATTTTGGTTATGGCCCTTTGGCTTTTCCACAGCCCCATTTTGATTACCTCACTGATTTAGTATCCCGTGAAAACCTCTCTATCTGCTGAACCATTCTGATAGAATGCGTGCTCACCAGCTTGCGAGAATATCCAAGGGATGGGCATACTGCCCATGTGGGTGTATGGATGTTGGCCAGATAACTGACTGAACGCCCCTACAGTATCTTTACCAAATAACTATAGAAAGTGGATGGTGATCAAGACACTCAGCGTCAATATGATAATACAGCCGAGGGCCCGTCGACAGGCCCAATGCCGCTACTTCACGTGTGGCAGAATTTATGTCGCTTTTCTCTTCGAACCATAGGCATGATGCTGGCCATCCTACTAGAGGTGGAGCTGTGAGAGGCATATCGAGAGTGCCGTTCGAGCAGATGGAAAGTTCCCGTTACATTCCCGCTGTTTATGCATCCCATATGATGCTCAGCCGAAGGCAGTGAAATTGGCCTAATTAAGTATATCAACCCCACCTGCGTTCATAGGGGAGAGAAGTGGCCCATTTTCGGATCTAGACATCTTTAGTGGTCTTGATAGCGTCTCGAATGGTTGCAACGAACTGCAACGAACAAGTATAGGGAGAGACTGGAGCAGGGAAAACCCACCCGGCAATAAGGATGTACACGAACGCAATTGAATTGGGGGAAAATGAAAGAAATAACTATCTATCGGAGAGGACACTCGCATGCTATGCGATACACTAGTAAGACAAAGATATGATGATATCTCAAGTCGAGAGAAAGCTGCCCAAACTGGACCTTGCAAATCATTGAGGAAGAAAAGATAGCTCGTGGTCCGACAATGAAGAGATTCAATTGGTAGCTGACCTGTTTTTTTCAGATGGCTCGCAGAACAGTATGCATCAGCATCGACGAGTCCGGGGATGCGAGAGATATGATTAGTAATATTAATGTCTGGGACAAGTGACAGTTGTCTGGACACTGAAGACTCCTCTCCAGCTATCCACTCTAGAAAGATCCGGCTTCTACTTAACTGCCCAGCCCTGAGCAATGTTTATGCGGGGCATCATGGAATCATCCATGGTAGCTGATGGTCACGTGGGATGTTCTCATGATTGGTCGATTGAAGATTAATCCATATGTTTGCCACCGCCTTCCATTTTTATCTCACGCCTTTTTCCACCACCAAGCTGTTTCTTGACGTTGAGCAGAATCTCTCCTGTATCCTGGGTTTGACCACCACTGCATTGACCTATTACCAGCCATTATCCTCGAAATATCTCACCGAGTTACGCAGTTCATAAAACCCCTTGCTTACAGATTTGGACGAGCTCCAGCGCCGAATTGTATTCGAACTCTGCGGCCGCGAGCCTTCTAGCTCGTAATCATTCGTTGCCTTTATAACCAAAATAGCCACATATCCTTTTCTTCCCTCCATTTTGGTACGACACGACACAACCATGTCCGCAGAAGTTAGTCACGCCGCATCACAAATCTTGGCTTCCGGTAGCGAGCGCGACCCAAGCTACAACGATTTCTCCTTCACCCCCTTCTTGCGCAATAGCTTTGGCTTCGGACTTGCCTGTGATGTACCTGTCTGCAAGGCATACAGTGAAGGCCATTGTCCCTTAGGGCCTGCCTGCCCCGATCGACATCCGACCCCATCACGAGTGACGACGTCCACGACTACCGCTTCCGGATTGGCACCGTCTACGACGCACGGGTCACTCGTCTGCAAGCACTTCCTCAAGGGGCTGTGCAAAAAAGGCCTCAAATGTGAATATCTCCATGAATACAACCTTCGCCGGATGCCAGAGTGCCAGTCCTTTTCGCGGTCAGGTTACTGTCCGAATGGTGACGACTGTTTGTATCAGCACGTGCGGGAGCAGGCTCGATTACCGCCGTGCGAACACTACGATCGGGGGTTTTGCCCGTTGGGACCGCTATGTGCTAAACGTCATGTGCGCCGACGTTTGTGTCAGTACTACCTGGCAGGGTTCTGCCCGGAAGGCAAGGGTTGCGCGGACGCTCATGCCCGGTGGATTGAGAACCTGCCCAAGCCGTCAATTAGGGTGGAGAAGACTGAGGAGGAATTGGAGCGAGAGAGGATTTTAATCCGGGAGGAACAGGAAAGAGAAAAGGAACGAGAACGAGAATGGAGGAGTGAGCGGGGACGCGGGGGTGGATTCATGCGTGGTCGTTTTAGAGGCCGGGGACGGGGGCTATAAGCGGGGACATGTCCTGTGGGAGTTTTGGATAGGAGAGAAGAGAAGGTTATTTGTTCGTGGTGGATTTAAGCTTATTACTAGAACGTTTGAGATACCCAAGTTCAGGCATTGACAATCTATCCGTATGTACTCTGTATGATCTAGTGAACTATAATAGCGGTTGCTATAGGGTATAACACAAAGAGAACAATGCCGTGGCCTGTCATTGTATCTGATTCCGTGTAACACAGTCCAGCCACAGATCGGACTCTCGATTAAGGTGACATGGCGTCGTTGTACCTTCCGGAGAGTGGATGACATCACGACAGCGAGGCCAGTGCGTTGCTAAATATCCCAATCCCAGTCACATTAGGTAGTATGTACCTAGTAGTAGATAGATTCCTCATCAAAACGGAATTGAAGCGCAGAGGATTGTAATCTTCAGTCACCCGGGTTAACAATCATTCTCTACTATCTGAATAAGAGATCATTCAGCAAGGTTCTGTTCGGGATCGAACGTTCTGGGAGCGGGAAAGGGGGACCATTTGCTAATCATCAGTAAGACTCAGCTAAGTCGCCATCCCCGCTGATGATTGGCCTAGGAGGTGCCGGTGGAGCGATGGAGATTTGGCTGGATCCCCGGCAAACCCCACAGTCTCCCTTCTAGAACCAATCATCCGACGCTTCTCTCGAAGCTAATGGATTCTGTAATCGATTACGGATCTTTTGGCAAGCTTGTTGAATTCTGGTGTTGAGCTCCTCGAATGGAGGGGTAGCCCCGACCCCTCGTGGTCGACTGTGGACTCGCATATATAAGAGTTCTCGCCTTGTCCGGCCGATACTTCAATTCTCCATCCATCTCCCTATTTAAACTTCCTCAAAGAGAAAAACTCCCCCTTCTCCATTAAAACTAAAACCATTTACCGTCGCCATGGCTCCCAAGATTGCTATCGTTTACGTATGTAACTTTAATCTTCCTGCTTGTCTTCTTACTTTGCACACAATGGCTAATAAACGGTAGTACTCTATGTACGGCCACATCGCCACCCTGGCCGAGGCCGAAAAGAAGGGTATTGAATCTGCTGGCGGCCAGGCCGACATCTACCAGTATGTTTACAAGGAAACACCAGCTCTTGAAGCCCAATTGCTAATGGTCTTTTCATAGGATTGCGGAGACCCTGCCTGAGGAGGTCCTTGCTAAGATGCACGCTCCTCCCAAGAAGGACCACCCCATCGCCGACCCTGACAGCCTCAAGAACTACGATGCTGTGCTGTTCGGTATCCCTACTCGCTATGGTAACTTCCCTGCCCAGTGGAAGGCTTTCTGGGACCGCACTGGCGGTATCTGGGCCACCGGTGGCTACTGGGGCAAGTATGCCGGTCTGTTCGTCTCCACTGGCACCTTGGGTGGTGGTCAGGAGTCCACCGCCATTGCTGCCATGAGCACTCTTGCTCACCACGGCTTCATCTACGTTCCTCTCGGCTACAAGACCATGTTCCCCCAGTTGTCCAACCTCCAGGAGATCCACGGTGGTAGCGCTTGGGGTGCTGGTACTTTCGCTGTAAGTTCTGCATCTGTGTCTCGTTGCCTAATCATTCGCTAACATATCCATCTATAGGGTGCCGACGGTTCCCGTCTGCCCACCGCTCTCGAGCTCGAAATCGCTGAGGGCCAGGGTAAGGCTTTCTACGAGCACGTTGCTCGTGTCAACTTCGCTTGACTGTATGGTAGCGAGGAAATTAAGCCTGAGTCGCAGCCTGCCGCTGCACCACAACAACCACAACAAAAAGAACAAACTACAAAGACAGAAGCTTCCAACGCTGCACAGAATGGCCAGCAGAACGAACAGGGTACCCAAAGGGCAAAGAAGGAGAAGGGTGAGGGACCTTGTGGTCTTCCTAAGTGTGTGATTTCCTAATAGGCTCCATTCTATACCCACCTGATCTTTGTGTTTTGTTCATTTTGTTGTTTGTTGCAATGGCGTTTTGTGATGGGTCGATACCTCATTCGGACTTGAGATCTGAAAATGATATACCATACCTGCAAATAGGATAATAAAAGACTTTATGAACCTTTCAATAACGAAGAGTGCATGGCGGTGTAGCTTTTCCCTTAGTGTTTTGGTAGTAAAATGGTGAGGTCGTAAGAAAGTCGAATTGATGATTAGTAGTTTCTACGTAGTATAGCGCTCATATTCCGGTGTTGGGCAATTCTCCAAATATATCTTTAAATTCCTTCCTTATATCAGAGAATCATAGCTAACCTCTAGCATAGTAATTAGCTGGAGTATTGGTGCTCAGATTACGCATCATGATTCATACATGGTTGCCGCAAGTGTGCTCTTGCGGGGTTCTGGTAGCAGGGCGGTAGCCAGCGGCGATGACGATAGAGCTGTTCCGCCTTCTCGCCTTCTCCTCCAACTTGAGCTCTCTTTCACTCTCATTGTGTCTTCAAACCCGCCACTACCGAACTATACCTTATGCTTTCCCATCGTCATGATTCCATGAACTCAGTCAAAATTTTCATATACCCATAGACGGCATTACTCACTACCATACTACCATTCAACTGCCCTACACCTTAACACTGGTCAACACCAAATCCTCCCCATGGCGTCTCGCCCGATCGTTCTGAGATTTGAGAGCCGGAACGGCCAGTTCCGGTTGACTGTCAGCCCACAAGAACTATTTCCCTCGCTCAAACAGAAGGTACTTTTTATTTATTTATTTAGATATCCGTGCCAACCGTGTCCCTTTATTTAACCGGGTGCTACCTGGATGCTAACGATCCCATTGTAGATTTTGGAGCACCTTCCTCCAGATACTGAACCCTCTTCGATAAACCTTTCGAACAAGCCCATAGGTACTGGTGGAGATGAGAGACTTTTGGACACTCTCGATGGTATTGCACTTGGGACTGTCGGTCTAAAGTCAGTTAGCCAATATTGGGCGGTGTCGTTGTTGTTCTTAAACGTGCTAATGCTGGAAGTAGACACGGAGACAAGCTGTACCTTGGCTATCAAGAAAAGCAAAGCTTGCAAGATGGCTCTGCGAATGGTCATACTACGAATGGATCCTCTCGGCGTCTGAATGGAGCCCCTGTTCCGCAAACCGAAACTGTTTCGATTCGCCCCCAGCCTACCTCACCGACCACTATAATCAAAAACCCCTGGGATGTGGTCCAGCAGTCGCCCCTCGACGAAGCGTTAGATAAGAAGGATGGGAAAATAAAGCGCAACCGTGACATGAAAATGTGCAAACATGGTCCCAAGGGCATGTGCGACTATTGCATGCCGCTAGAGCCTTACGACCCCAAGTACCTCGCAGAGAAGAAGATCAAGCACTTGTCGTTTCACTCTTATTTGCGGAAACTCAATGCTGCGACCAACAAAGCCGAGCTCAAGAGCTCCTTCATGCCCCCACTCAGTGAACCATACTACCGAGTAAGACGGGATTGCCCGTCTGGACATCCTTCATGGCCCGAGGGAATCTGTACCAAGTGCCAGCCAAGTGCGATTAGCTTGCAGCCTCAAGAGTTTCGTACGGTAGACCATGTGGAGTTCTCTTCTCCTGATCTGATTAACTCGTTGCTCGATTTTTGGCGTAAATCCGGTGCTCAACGGTTGGGATTCCTCTACGGTACCTACGAAGAGTACACTGAGGTTCCTCTGGGAGTCAAAGCTGTGGTCCAGGCTATCTATGAGCCACCCCAGGTGAATGAGATTGATGGCGTCACGCTTCACGAATGGCACAATGAGAAAGAGGTGGACGAGGTCGCACGCTTGTGTGGCCTTGAGAAAGTCGGTGTCATCTTTACTGACTTGCTAGATGCTGGACAAGGGGACGGCTCGGTTGTTTGCAAGCGGCACATTGATTCATACTTCCTTTCATCCTTAGAGATTACATTTGCAGCGCGGTTACAATCTCAATATCCGAAAGCAACCAAGTGGAGCCGGACTGGTAGATTCGGCTCTAACTTTGTCACCTGTGTTCTCAGTGGAGACGAGGAGGGTGCTATTTCCGTAAGCGCCTACCAGGCGTCGGTTGCGGCAGTTGAGATGGTCAGGGCAGACATTGTTGAGCCGTCTGCGGAGCCCTCGGTCATGCTGGTACAGTCCGAAGAGGATGATTCTGAGAACAAGTCACGGTATATACCCGAAGTCTTCTACCGAAAGATTAACGAGTATGGTGTTAGCGCCCAACAAAACGCGAAACCAGCTTTCCCTGTGGAGTATCTTTTGGTCACTTTAACACACGGATTCCCCACGGAATCCTCGCCGCTTTTTGTTGAAGGTAGTTTCCCAATTGAGAACCGTGAAGTCATCGGCGAAAGCCAAGAGCTTCGTCACGTCGCGAAAAAGCTTGTTTCCCACGGCGACCCTGACAAGGCGATTCGCGCCGTATCCGACTTTCATCTTCTGTGTTTCCTCCACTCTCTGTCCACATTCAGCAAGGTAGGCAAACCCACCATAGACTGACTTGATGATCGCGACAAACATTGACAAAATAACAGGACGAGGAAGCACTCCTCGGCCGCGTTGCGACAAATCATGACCCCGCAGATGGAGTCCAGTTGATAAACACCCCCGGGTGGGCGACGTTGGTCACAATTCTTCAGGAAAGTGGTGAGCGCCCCCCTAAGCGCCCCTGGCTGAGTTCGGCCGATTCTCCACGCGCAGTGCCCCAAGCCGGGAAACGTTTATTCCCCTCAAGGCCTGAATCTCCAAAATCAGAAAGTGAACAGCTTGCTAAGAGGTTCAAGGGAGCTAGTCTAGAGTGACTGGTCGATCCGAGCCGCGTAGCCACATTCCCCGTCGAAACGTCATCCACCCTGCTCCCTTCGATCAAAGCTGTCATGTCATCGGACGTCCTGGCCTAGCGTACGCCGGCTGTGCAACAACGTGCTCGTGCCTTAGAGTATTTGATATGTTCTCCCGACTCCCACCTACCCTATGCATATATTTCGGCTGGTTTAGGTCTTAGATCGTGAGGATGGACATCTTGTGATATAGCTCTCAAAGATATTAGATGGTGCGGACGGAATGAATCTGCGTTACAGAAACAGTTGAGTTCCCAAGCTCGTGCGAACTGCCTCGGGGACGGTTACTGGCTATTCTGTAATAGTCGAATTTCCAAGTTTGTGCGGATTACCTACACTGATCTCGAATGTTAGGTACACCTACAGTTAAGATACCTAGAAACATCGCATTGTGAAGTAGACTATATTATGTGAATTACACCACAATGGACCGTAAGATTTACCCTACCGCATATGAGGGTTCGAAGCAACGCCAACCAGAAAGGGGTAACATAAAAGAATGAACCCAAAATAAATCCAAAAGTGAATAATAACAATATAAAACGAAGAGGCTTGAAGAGGTAGAAAAGAAAAGACACAACAATCCCCAAGCGAAAAAGGGGCAAATTACTTCTTCCCCTTACCCTTGACCATCTGCTTCAATCTTTTCTCCACGATCGACCGGCCCTCAGCCGATCTCCACACCTCATGTGGTGCCCCGCGAACAATATCCCAGTTCTTGAGATTCTTCGTCACTTTCGTCAATTCCTCCTGGGCCTTCCTCCACTTCTCACTCTTGCGGACTTCCACACCAGAACTGATGACTGTCAACGGCGTGTCGGGCATCTGCACATGTCGCGCGGTCTGGATTTCCGAGGCAGTCATGGACTTGGCTACCAGATTCTCCTGCAACTTGGCCCGGATGACCTTAGCGGTTTGATAGGCGCTACGGCCGATGACGCGGTCCTCCCGTGCCCGGCCCTTGAAGATGGCCCCGGCGAGTCGGTCAAGACCTAGAGGAGAGAGTACACCTCGAATCCAGAGGATGAAGCCTCGTCCCGGTGAGCCCAAGCTGTCCAGGTAATCTTCGTGCAGGGTGTCGATGAGCATGATCCCGTCTACCTCGAGGAGATGGCGGCTGGCAAAAATGCGACTGTGGATGCCGCCTACTCCGGCCGAGACCAGGACCCAAGGGCCTTCTTCGCCGGCGAGAGCGAGCGCCTCGGACAGTGAGTCGGCTGCCATGCCGGCGGAGTAAGGGGACGGCGCGTTATCGGACCAGGCGTATCCTGGTCGGTCCCAGTAGCAGTAGCGCTCGATGGAGCCGTTGTGGTACGCATCATCAATGAATGGTTGCAGGGTATGTTCGACTGGTCCGTGATTACCTTCCAAGAGAACTGTGGGAATGCGGTCTCCATTTTCGGTTTTGCGACCTGGGTTGCCGACGCAGTTCAGATGTACTTGGTAATGGTTGCCATTGACGTAGTACTTCTTGCCTGGTGCAGCAAGGGAGGAGTCTTGGATACGGATGATCAACGTTGCGGTGAAGAGAATGGAAACGATAGCGAGGATGACCATAATGATGGTGGCAATCAGTACGGCCAGCCATTCTCGGAGGGGACGACGCGTCTCTTCGCGACCTGTCAGACGTTCTTCCTCTTCCTTTTTGCCCCACGCGACATAGCGATTCTGCCCAATGGCATAGATTGAGATGAACGTCGCCCAGACGACTGAGGCGATGCCCACCCAACCTTCTTCGACACGGATGTGAGCTACGCCCAGTATGATGCACATATCAACTAAGAGGAAGACAAATAGGATCGCGCCGCATATCGTCATTGGCTTCGAAGGTACGGAGAAGAAAAGGAGCGCGATTATCAGGTAGCCGACTGTTAACGAGGTGTAGGCGAAGCTGAAGAAGCCGGACCCCCGGGTATGCATCATGGGCGGGCTGACGAAGATGGAGACAAGTAAGAAGGCCCACCATATAAAGCTTATCACGAGGAAAAGTGAAGAGAGGGCTCGTAGAGCTCGAACGCTCCAGAGGTTGTACGGAGAGACCTTACGTTTTCGAATGTCAGCGGGATAGAGCTTTCGGCTAACCTTTGAAGTAGAGGTTGGTCAACTTACTGCAGGATCATCTGGTCTCAGATAAGCGGTATTATCGTGAGGTAGGAGTCTTGTGCGCTCATCTGGCTCTCGATACTGAGGTTCACGATAGTTTCTGGAAGACCCTTCCTCATCCCTAGTCTGTGATTCCTCCCTATCAGGGTCGTCCTTTTTCTTGTGCCAGAGTGCGACCATTGTGTGCTATACTGGTATAATCTGGGAGGCCTTGATGGTCAATGACAAGGATATATAGCGGCTCACAGAGTGGAGCCTTTGCGTGGAGGAGAAAAGAAAGAGGAAGTAATAATTCGAGTCAAGAGTAATCGAAATGCCGAAATTCCTCAGAGCTGAGGTGACGTCATGGGTAGGACATGCACTCCAGGACTAGCAGGACAAGGGTAAGGTTAGATTTAAGGAAATACTAAGGATCTGCGGGTATAGAGCAATGATGCACCCGCATCCCATGTAAGTGGTAATGTAGGGAGCTGAAGCATTGGAACGGTTGGTGAAGTCATCGATTGCTCATGCCTGCATAACCATGGATTGGCCAGTGTAGAGACCCCAACCAAATAGAGTACATGATCCTCTGGAAATACAATAGGTGGCTTCTCTTCCAATAGTGGGTGGGACGTGAATTCCTTTTGGAATGATACTGGGTGTAAGATGAGAGGGGAAAAGAGAGACTCAAAAGTAGTATGTAAAACAATGGTATAGATGATATTGGGTCATATGACCACTGAGCAACTCCTCATGTCATGTTTCAATTTACTAAAGTATCTAGAAGAGTCTCAGCACTTGGAGCCGAATAATTCACTGAGAAACTGGCTGGTTACTAGAAATTAAGGTATATTGGTTAAACAATCCAGAGGTTCCATTCCAATATTTCCCAACCTCGAGGAGCGTAGTCGCATGACGTCATTGGAGCTAACTTGCCAGCCTCAGGCAGGGACGAACTCCAAAGGTCTCAAACGTAACTAATTCATTGTTCCTATGAAAGGATTTCCAGGCACAGAAATCAATCATTGCCCGGTTTTCGAATAACCTCAGCTTCATTGCTCCTCGAAATAAATCCCCGAGTGACCAATTCCCCCCTACAATTAGATACAATTGATCTTTCCCAGATCATACGGTCCATCCTGCCGATCATCTAAGAAGATCCATTCATCCCACCAGTGCCACCACCCCACATGAGCTCCCGTCCACCCTCCCACCGAAGGAAAACAGTCCCCGATGCATTAGCACCAAACATACCATAACCCACCTCCATGAGCGAACTGCAGAAATCCTTTGCCAAAGCAAAACTGGCCAAGCTCCCTCCCGAGGCCCCACCGTTCTCCATGCATCCACTCCGCGATGAAGACGACTCCGAGTCCGCCTCGTCAACGGGGACCGTGGTTCCCTCGCCCAGTCGGCAGCTGTTTGCTAGGTCTCGAGGGTGAGTGAAACGTACCCTTGTGATATGGAGCTGCTGTGATTGTTACTCTTGACTGTGCGATTTGTGGACTTTTTTATCATTTCTACGTGTGGGGTGGTTTTTCCCATTGTTAGCTATACTGACGCATTTCAGATCCAATTCCACCGAAATATTAAATTGGACCGATTTTTTCACCCAAGAGCTCTTTCTCGTTCAAGAGACAGACTCTGCGCGCATAACACACCATGTATACCTGACTCCTCCTACAAATTCGGGTCCGCTCTTCGTCATGCACCATGGCGCCGGCTCGTCGGGGCTTTCATTTGCAGCCTGCGCAGAGGAGATTCGGAAGATCCTTCCCAAGGCGGGAATCCTTTCTATCGATGCGCGAGACCACGGCCAGACATCTACATCCATGGAAACGGGAAAAGGAAAGGTCGAATTGGACTTAAGCTTGGAGGCGCTCAATCGGGATTTGGTCTTCATTGTCCGTGAGACGCAGTCGAAGATGGGCTGGGAGAGTCTACCTGACATTCTCCTTGTGGGACATAGTCTGGGCGGTGCAGTCATCACGGATGTGGCGAAGAAGGGAGAATTGGGTTCGAAGTTGTTAGCCTATGCTGTTTTGGATGTTGTCGAGGGTATGCCATTCTTGCAGAAGAAACCCGCTACTGGATCGCTGGTTGGCCTAAAATGCATAGAAGCTTGCTAACTGCGGATATAGGTTCGGCAATGGACGCTCTCCAAAGCATGGAAAAGTATCTTTCTACACGGCCCTCTCGATTCCCCTCCCTTGCCTCAGGGATTGAATGGCAGTATGTTTCTATCCGGTCTACATCGCACCCACCTCAAACTTTCCTTGTGTACTGAAGACATAAATATACCATGTACTGATAATATCAGCACTCGCTCCCGCACAATCCGCAACAGAACCTCAGCCCGCGTCTCCGTACCATCCCTCCTTTACGAGGAAACAGCGCCCACCGACCCCTCCAAACCATGGGTATGGCGCACCAACCTCGCCGAAACGAAGCCCTTTTGGGAAAACTGGTTCATCGGTCTGAGTAAGAAGTTCCTTGAAGCGCGTGGCGGAAAGTTACTTCTTCTTGCTGGAACCGATCGCCTGGATAAAGAATTGATGATTGGGCAAATGCAGGGTAAGTATCAGCTGCAGGTATTTCCCGAAGCAGGGCACTTTGTACAGGAAGACCAACCGGCCAAGACGGCTCAAGTGCTGGTAGACTTCTACAAGAGAAATGACAGGAGTGCTTTGGTGCTGCCGCCTAAGGTGGCAGATATGCAGGCCTCGGCGGCTATGAAACAGGGAGCTGGAGCTGTTCCGCCCTTTGAGAGGGGGCAGGGCTCTTTTCATAAACCATAGACGGCGGCTTTTCGTTGTCGATTATGATGTCTATACAGTGTACGAGTGTACAAAGGCCAAAATATAATAAATTATAACTACCCGTAGATTATCTATGCCGATGTTTATGATCCATGAAGCTGTATCTCCCGGTGGGACATGACATCCTCTTCGGCCTTGTTCTTTACCCTCGCGACTTCGTCATTGGTACTAAGTCGACTAACTTCTGAATAATATAATCATTTGCAACATTTCCGGATGTTCAGCCTGCAAATCCCAAATAGGATCCAAGTAAGAAGCTAATATATAGCTAATTTTAGATAAATTGCAGCGGCCACCAACACCATCCCATCAGAATCAAGCCAGGACGCCTTCTAGAAAATTCCAGCCACCAAATGCATGTGACCATTAATATGTCCCCAAAATAATGCTATAAACCGCAAAGAAAATTGGACAATATAAGAAGACAAACAAAAAGTGTGAAGATGAAAGAAAACAACCGGGTATCTGGCGCCGTTTTGCATGAAATTCACCCCACTTAAGGAAGATAAGCGCCTCCAGCAATGATCAGATTCATGTTGGTGAATTTCACCTTATAGACAGGGCTCTTCTTAGTTGGGAAGGCACTGATTTGGTCCGGAGAGACGACCACGTCTTTACCTTTCTTCTTTGGAGCAACTGAGCTTGAAGCCTGTGTGCCGGAGGCGGGGGCATTGCCCCCATCGACCTTGGTTCCTGCGCCGCCTTCTCCAACTACACGTCCTTGTGTTGAGTCCTGTGCGGGGCCTGTGACATCCCATACGCGAACAGTCCCGTCAGCGCCACCGGACACCAAAACGGTAGACTCAACGCTCCAGCTTAATGACCAGATACCGCCCTTTCCATGGCCACGCATGCGCTTTAAGAGTCTTCCGGGTGCGAGATCCCACAGAAGGATGGATCCGTGGTCATCTGCGGAAGCAAGGAGCTTGCCGTCCCGGCTGCATGCCAATGCTGTGATGTTACCGGTGTGGCCGGTGAACATACGGACAGCATTTCCCGTAGTCACAGCCCACATGCGCACCGTATGGTCTGAGCTTCCAGTGAATACATAGGCCGAGTTCGGGTGGAAGCAAATACAGTCGACATCTTGGTCGTGTCCGACGAAAATACGTTGCTGGCGGATATGGTCTGTAACCCAGAGACGGGCAGTTTTGTCATGGCCTCCGGTGGCAAAGTAGTGGCCGTAGGGACCCCACTGAAGGTCCCAGACGGGTTGATCATGTCCCTTATAGACGACCATGCACTGCCATAGATCCAACGACCAAAGCCTGATTGTCTTGTCTGCTGAAGACGAGAGAAGCCAGCGAGCATTCGTCGGTGCTATAGCATTCTCCGTGCGTGTTATAGACGGAGCGAATGCTACAGCATACACTGGCCCCGAATGCCCAACCAGGCGACGAGAATTCGATGGTTGCGTATCGTCCACACTCTCGTAGGTCGATGGGATTCGCTTTCCATCCAAACTCCAGACCCGAATATATGACTCTTGCATACCAGCTGCAACGAGCATATTGTCATCGGAAAAGTCAAGGCAGTTAATACTGGGTATAATTAGCTATTCGAGCCCGAAGAAGCAAAGTAAGAGACTCACCCGTCATAAGTATTGTGGAAAGTAAACATGCAAACACTGACGGCTGGCCCAACACCACCAGTTCTTCCTTCGATCCGAAATCTATCGCGGTTCTCTTTGACCTTCTGAACCTCCATGGCAACGTCACGAGCAGTTGATGGTGGATAAGGAATGTCAGCGCGAGTAGGGGCTTCATCGTCCTCCTCCTTTTTGATCATCTGGTCAAACTCTTGCAGGAGAGTATTCTGGCCTGGGGCCGGTGGGTTTTTGACGTCTTCATCCGCAAGCTCGCCTCTCACATCGGCTTCGAGGGTCTGCTCCATTGGAAGCTTCCCGAGCCTGAGCCTGGGCAATGTTCCAGCCATAGCGGGGTTATCACCTGTATAGGCAGAGCCAGGGTGATGCCCAGGTATACCTTCGTCTTCAGTAGGGAACGTCTGGCCTGCGCCAGCTTGCCCCAGCATGGCGGCGAAGCTGAATCTGTCATCGACGGCACGTTCCTTGGTTATGATAGTGCAGTAGCTGCTCAGAATGGCAGACATGACGGAGCCACCCTCCTTTTGCTTGCTCTCGAGGAATTGCATAAGGTTCGAGAACGCCGGGTTGCTTAGAACAATGCGATATTTGTTCCCACGATAGAGCTTCGCAGTTGAATTATCTTGAACATGCTCTGGAAGAGCGATTGGCTCCAAAGCGCGGACATCTTCAGTGTGTTCAGGCAGAAAAAGGTTCTTGTTAATATCGAAGAATTGTTTCGCATCTTGCGGATAGAAAGATGTGACCATATTGAGGAAAGAATAAACAAAGAGCGGCCAAAGAACGCGTCTAAGCTCCGGCTACAGAGGGTCAGAAGTGGTCTTTACTTCATATGAACAGTAGTCATACCTTATATAAATCCAGGTTGTCTTCAACCCAGACTTTGAGTAGGTCTGTCGCCAAGTTAATTACACCGTGCCAAGCTGAGGGTACCATACATAGCTTACCGAAACCAAGTCTGTACTTGGGACGTGCATCTTCTCCAAGAGGAGGTAAAGGGCGACCATCTATCTCTTGATTCGCCGATTCCATGCGGAGCATGGCCTCAGTACGACTATAGCCCTTCTTGGCCAAGTAGTCAATGACCTAAGGCGGACGACGTCAGCATCAAGATGATAACATAGCTACGTGCAAGTCTGGCAACAAAACAAAGAGAGAAAGAAAAAGCAACATTAAAGACAGAGATTAGATGAAACCCATATATAATGTCTGAATACGTTATACATTAGGTCCAAGCATATATGTAGAAATACCGCTTTGAAGTTAAGGTTAAGACATAGTATGTCAATAACACGGATGGCGAGGAAGCTCCACATTTATGGTTTACCAGGACCTCGGGAACCCATTCACCACGGAAAACATAATTGAGCATCCAAACATAATCACACAGCGACTACTTACTATCTGATTCAAATTCTGCTGGGACATCGCACCACTGGGAGGAGGTGGAGGAGGACCCGGTGTCGGCGCAACTGGGGTGGTAGCACCCATTGACTGTTGAGGAGGCATTGACATTCCACCACCGGGCCCCATGCTTCCACTTCGGGGCGCAGGGCTCGGGGCCCCGCCTGGAGCAGACATGGCCCTAGATATCTAGTTCAAGGAGGCGAAAATGCCTAACCTGAGGGAAATGATGGGAAGATAAGTGGGCAGAGGGATGGTGAAGGTCAAAGTAAACGGGAGCTTTTGCGGCGTCACGTTCTGATATTGCACTATATCACTTTAGGATTAGTTTGATTCCCCGGCTTAAGTAATCCGATTCTAGTGTTCCCCAGGCCCGCGCACGTGATGCAAGCTTAGCTGCCTTCGCATCTTCATATTCGAATCCTAGACGGAGCCTTACCTTTTGTATCGGCTTTTTCTCCTTGATCCATATACAAGCGCAACAATGGCAGACAGCAAGGAAGTCGGCAAACCAGACCAAATCTTTACATCGGCGGATCGGATACGCCAATTGAACGAAGTGGACAAGGTAAGAGGTGCTTCGAAACCGAGCGGAGAAGCAGTACTTCGAGCGACAAACACTTAGACCGTCGTGAAAGGCCCAATTACTCACTAGTGCTTCACAACTACAGGACGTGGCAAGACTAATTCACTCCGCTGGCCTCGCAATACAAGCCCTCACCAACGCCAGATCAAGCGACTCGACAGGAGATAACTCCCTCGATTCCCACAAAGTTCGGTTTAAAGAAGCTACGTCGCAGTACTTTGCTCTCCTATCGTCTATCGACGTGCGATTACGCCGTCAGGTCTATGCTTTAGAAGAGGCTTCTATACTTGCTCCGGATTCGTCCTCCAGGACAGGCGATCTACCTGGCGCAAGCGGGGGAGCTGCGGCAGCGGCGAACCCGTTGGATGTCAGTTGGCTTAACAGCCGAAAGGATACTGTAGGCAAGGATAAGGAGGCAGAGCTTTGGGCGGCTGCAAGAGGATTTGTCGAGCAGATTAGCAATCCTGGGGTGAAGGCTGAGAATAATCGTGAGGGAATGGAAGTTGATTGAGCATTCATTTCGCACGCACCCCACTTCGAAGGGAACCGGCAACCCCCAAACATTGGGTAGAGTTGCTCCAATATGTTGGTCGATCTTTGTCGCCTTCATTGTATGCACCACGGTCCATCCTACGGGTAATTCCTGGTGTCGCCCTTACTTCTTTTTTTACTGTCTTGCCCAAGGCCCACAACGAGCCTTGGCATTTATGATACCCAAAGCTACTGAATCAGATATTCTGTCGAGTTTCGTTTCAAAGCCCTTGCGCAGGGATCCAAAATAGGTTCTGCGGTATAATTTTCATCTTGCGGTTTGTACATCTGTTACGAGTTTGCTACTCTCGATAAGCTAGCATTATCGAAATAATGTGAGTTTTAGATCTCCAGGAACCTTAGCTCGAATCTACATACAATAAGCTATAAGTGCAATGTTGGAAGGCGCAAAATCGATGATACAAAACATGCTACTACCGTGACCATTGCGGTAGCTAGATAGCGTCGGCAGTCACCGGTGACTACCTGTGCATGGACATAATCATCTCCCGCTGGGTAGCGCGCTCCTTGCTTGCCTCCGACAAGGAAGCCAGACCTGTAGCATATTAGTACATAGCTAAAGGATGCGGCAAATAAGGGAAGCTTACTCCGGAGTTCGCCCACGACATCCTTCGCTTTACCGAAGTAGACCTCCTCTATACGCATTACCAAGTTAGTATGTCATTCAGAGATGTACCACATGTACGATTCAAGCCAAGAACAGTGGAACATACGCAGCAGGTTCCTCATCTTCAACTCCATGTCCTCAACGAGTCGACCAACATTGGCAACGTGGCTTGCATCGGACTCAACGGGCAAGTCCACCTCCACTTGTCGGGTCATGTTACCGCTCAGATCCATTTCACCCAGAGACTCGGTCTCGTTGGCCAGATGAAGGATAACGGTGCTGGTCAGCTTGTAGTGGGACATGCGAGCCCGATCGGTAGCTTCAAACACGTGGATACTGTCCCATTCTCCCGAGCTTTTCGTACCCGGCGTTACCCCTGAGATGCATCAGCACAAGAGCTACCAACACAATTTCACTCTCTTCTTAAGTCTTGAATTCATTCACCCACCCTTCTTCAAAAGTATAACACCAGCGAAACCGTCATCCAAATCCCAGAAGTAAACGCTGCCTACACCACCCTCATAGTACAGCTCCCGGTAGACGTCGAAAGCCTCATTAGCCGCTACTTCAAGCTTTCTCACTCTCTCGCTAGGGACGGTTCCATCATCCAGAGGAGGGTCGAACTCGTTGCTCCAAGGGGAGCGGTAGCTATCACCATCCCGGTTGTAATCGCAGAGCAGGTAGTCACGGTTGGTCTTGGAGCACCGGCGGATCTCGAGGGGCTGGTCAACGGAGGAAAGGAGGTCTTCGGTGAGGTCAGGGACTATAGATGTAATCGCCTGAAGGTTCTTTTTGGTGTCCCGGGGGTTCAAGCGCCGCAGGAGGTCGCTGGTTGCAATTACAGTCAGCTCTCGGCCTGAGGTGGGGTACGGGGTTGGGTTTGGTTTCGTATATCGAGAGGGGTATAGCATGCATGTTGCAATTTTATGCGTTCGTACGGAAGGCGTACTTACAGCGCACTGTCAAATTGAGCGTCAGCCATGGTTGGTAAGCTTCAGCGAATGTCTGGTTGGTTTTGTTGTTTACTCCGTTCTCCAGACCGATCTCAAGTTGGCCGGAACGGAGGTGCGTTGTCGGGTGGGTGGGGCCGTGGCAATTGTCTTTAACCTTAAAACCGAGGGGTGTATAAATAAAGCATGGCCGTTTTGAGGCACCATATCACTCCAAGTGCACCATCCCAGCAAGTACTCCAAGATTTAATAGACATTCTTCCAACCTTGCAAGTAAATGTCCTGAGTCCAGCTTCAGGTCAACGTAACGCAATATGCCGAAACTCTAAACATATCCTTGAGTCCTTGAGACTAATGGGGAGTGTTATACATAGTCAATTGATTCAGTGTGTTTGATTTCCTAGCGGGTGAAGTATTCGGTGTGAATTACTAAGTTTTAGATAACTATTGAAAAAATATTAAACTCTATGTACTGTGATTCTTCCTATAATAGCCCGGATCTCCGTATCCAGAGACCTATATAGTTCAATTTTCACTGAACATTCAAGATATTATATCTAACCAATATTTCATACTATACATTATGTAGCATATCTCAAATACCCAGACGGATCCTCTATTCTATGAAATGGCTAGGGAACTGGGTGAGAGAGGCTAACGCTTCTGCTGACGGCAGCAATCCCTGCAATGGCGTTTTCTCTCCCTTCCTTTGTTCCCCAAGATATAACGAACGTTATAGGGGTAAGGATCTATATCTCAGTAGATTCGATCCATGACATGGTGAGTCACCTATCTACCTAACATTTGATAGATATAGAAAAACGCTGTTGGCTGAGTCAGTCAGTCCATAGGTGGAATACCAGTGACCCTTGGGCAACTTTGACCATTAGATTTCCAGGTTGACTCACTATAAAGTGCATAATTATGGCCTCTTGGAAGATCAAGCCTTGCAGTGTTGTTGACGCCCCCGCTCTAGCATATAATAACATGTCAGCCTTTTGGAAAGACCAGACATGAATTCTTTTATGGCCTAAGGAAGTCACGCTGGATTTTCTAATTGAGCAATGTGCAAAGCGCTACCCGAATATCCTACTACACTCACGCCAGGAGGCCCGTCATCAGAAGGTCGTTGACCCTCTTACCGGCGAGCTTGTCGGATATGCCCGATGGTTACTGCCTTCCACCCACGTTACTACGGATGATGGACGTCCACAATGGATTGATGCTCAAGTCCCAGATGTTACTGAGTTCGACAAGAAACGGTTTCAGCAAATAGCAGAGTCCGCGTGGTGGAATGGAAGAAGCGATATGCGATCGATCGATGATATGAATGACGCGGTAATGGACCGTATACTCGAGCAGATGTCTTATATCAGTAAGTGGGATTGATTTGTTCTTGGTAAAATCGCAACACTGTTGCTCTACGCAGATCGACTGTTAGTTTCCTCCTAGAGCTCGACTACTTGGCTGTTCATCCCAAGGGCGAAGGCAAAGGAATTGCTACAGCACCTGTTGCAAGCGGCATCAAAGTAGCCGAATCTATCGATGTGCCCATCGTTACAATGTCTTATAAAGCAGGACGTGGAGTGTATACGCGCTTAGGATTTGAAGAGGTTGATCGGGTAATTCAGGATGACTCGAAATATGGTGGTGCTGGTGAACATGGGGCCTACTTCATGATATATAATGTCAATACCTAAATCTAGGAATACCATATATCAGGATTCATAACTGTGATTTTTCTCTCCTCCTCTCCTCTTCCTTCTCTTCCTTCCCTTATTTCAGAGGATTCACTCTGGCTCCTTCAATATATATGATTAATTATATGTATTGAGTCTACCAGCCCCTTCCTAATGCCCAGATGCGACCCATCATGATGCAGTTTTAAGCGTCGCTTGCCACTCTGGCGCCTACTGCATAGGAATAGGTAAATAGCCATCAAAAGTAACTTCTGGCTTATAGTACACCATTTACAATACTCTGAGGATGTCTCAATAGGCATAGTCCTCGATATGAATTATATATAATAATATTAAAATCCCTAGAAGTCAATGGGGTTAGCGCCATGCTCGCCCGTGTCGAAGATGCAGCCGTCAATGCCGGGGGATGTCGCTATCATCAAGGTAAATGGACCGGGCCCGTCCCCATTTGAACGCGCGGGGGACGCTATGGGGAACTACTATCCAGGTTACTCGCTTTCACAGTCGTCGACATCTTGCTTCATGGCTGCGCGGAGGACGTTGCGTGCATACCCACTTGTGCTTGTGATATCTGAACAATACCGCAATATTAGCTGTGTCTCAAATTTTGTAATTTGAATATATTTCTATATACGTATATGAACTATACTATTTCTGTTAAGTTTTGGAATAGACGCTGCATGGTGGACAAGTCAAGAGCTCGCTCTTGCTCGTCATCCCTCTTTTGCCTCAGGAGTTGCAGGAGTATTGAGGCTCTTATCCGAGAGGAATTCGCAGCCACGGCCTTGATAACACCTTCTGTAAGAGGCAGCCTTTTCCCTCTATTTTCCAATATAATATCCAATATAGAACTTGGTGCATCTGGACCAGGATTCGTGGCTGCTGCTATGAGAACTGCCTCCGTGATTGGTAGACTCTCCCCCTTCCGCTCAAATAGATACTGTATAATTGATGCTCCCTCTAACTGATTACCAGCTGCAGCTGTAACGATGTTTTCGGTGACCACTAGAGTATCCCCTCTCTCCTTGAACAGAGTCTCCAATATACCCCCATATCCAGTGTTACCTGCTGCCACCCTAATAACCTCCTCTGTGATGGGAAGACTATCTCCCCTTTGCTTGAAAAGAAGCTTCATCACAGAATGCGCATCAGGATTCGCTGCCACAGCCTTAACAACTTGTTCTGTAATTGGGAGAGTGTTCCCCCTATGCTCAAAAAGGATCTTTAACAGATCAGCACTTAGGTCTTGATGGTCTGCTGCTCGCCTAACTATGTCTTCCGTGATGGGTAGAATATCACCTGCTTGATCCAAAAGAGCTTTCATGGCTGAAGCGCCATCTGGTGCTCCGCCAATGCCGCATACATCTGAAGTCAGCACATTATATTTGGACGGAACCGCTATCGTAAGAATATCATGCAACACAGTGGGATTGTGTAAACTATCCTCATGGTGAGATCTCACAACCGAGAGCTTTGATTTGTGTGGTTCCCCGGATATTGTTGCTCGATTCTTTTCTTGCAGGCCATCCAATGTAGGGGCCCAATCCCATTGAAGGACGAGGTCGTGAAGAACACTCGCTTCCGAAGGAGGCCCTTGTGAAACCAATCCCCTCGTATCATGTATAGCTCTATGCCGTGGAACCACGCTGCTCATAATGATTTTTAGTCCACTCCTCGAAATCCTGACGATAGTTGGAGTCGACGCTCCCTGGAGCAGGCAGACAATGTCACCCGGGCGAATCGGCTCCGCCGGGGTTTGGAGAAGCCACTGTACACCTGAAATCATGTATTGATACAGTGCCTCTACTGTATCGCGGAATAGAACTTTAACCTCCTGTCTGTCATATCGTGAGCCAAGTGTTGCAACCGATTTTATTAGCCCTAGCATATAGCCCTTGCCTCTAATAACTGCTGCCTCTCGATCAGGCCACGTCTGGACGGAAATATCTGGCGAAATGATGTGCTTGATTACGCGCTCAAAGACCATATTCCATGGGAGCTCGTAATCTGGCCTCAGAGCCTTGATGTTGGGATCATCGGAACACATGCCGAGCAATGCGTATACTTTATCATGTAGACAGGAGGCACGACGCGTATGGTACATGTCAATCAGCTCACCTATGGACTGTGTGCCACGGGTGTTGAATCGATAACTAGGGCGAAAGACTGCATCCTTAATAAGGTGATACGCCGACTGCACCAAGCCTTGTAGCTTCGGGTGAGCTGTGCGAAGAACCTCTAAGCTCTGCAAGCCCGAGACAAATGCGTAACCGTTCATCTCCACAGGACCACACATAACTATAATATCCCGGGCCAGAGCCACCTCCTGGAGTACCTAGAACACAGACTAGTCAGGAAAGACTCATGAAGACTCGATTACCGGGCCTCGACATCTTACCCAAATTCGTTGGAACCATGGGCGTTGCACCAGTGCCAGAGAGGAAGGAAGAGACTTTTCTCTATCTGGCCTGTCACGGGAGTAGGATTGAGGCAAAAGATCTACAGAAGTATCTTCCGCAGCTTTGCGTATGGCTTCGAGTGCCTCACTGCTTTGATCCGCCTCCTCTCCAAGCCAAACTATGACTCGCCAAGCTTCACCATAGATTGTTCGCATCAACTGGATCTGGTGGGATTTCTCCTGGTCATCCTTTTGATTGATACAGATGGCATCAATCCATAGCAGCCGTGCCACACTGTGGTTTCTTAGACGCAATAGCACTGCATGGAGATTCCGAGTGACGTGAAAGGCTCTACCGCCTATCAAAATAGACTGTGGCTCGTCGCCTCTGCCCCATACATAAGATAGGGCTTCATACGGGTGCTGTCCCATGGAATCTGTCAGAGTGTATTCGATGAGTTCGCATTCCACGCGGGCAGCCTCATCTTCGTGCGGTAATAGACGGAGCAGGCGGATCTTGGTGGAGCCCTTAGCCAGAGGGCGATAGGTGTATTGGGACATACCCAAGGAGCCACCAATGTGTGAGTGACCGAACACTCTCCGCCACATAGTGTATAGATAGGATCAAGTTTGTCATTTCGGCTCAGCTGGGAGACAGGACTTCATAGCCGCCAGACATATTCCACTAATGCACGCTGGGTAACCTCCTTACTAGTAGTGGGCCAATAAGATCGCAGCACTTGCTGATAATATGTTGTTGTACTAAGGATCACGATGCTACATATTTATCTAGTGACCAAACGATATCATGCTGCGGAACCAGCGAAGAACGAATGCTCCTGGGCTGTAGGGCTTCCTTCGTTCGTCCCGACGTCCGCATTGCAAATCGCTCCATCGCTGCCTTTGTCGATCGCACTATATACCCCGCAATGCCTATCGTGGATAACTCAAAGGTACAGTAGGCTCACCTGGCGATGATCGCTGATTCTAATCGCTCCCCTGCTAGCGATTGTAGATTTCCTTTGTGGCTAAAATAGCCGATCCTAGGATCGGGATCTACTTGGGGTTATAGATTAAGAGCTTGAGATATGTATGGATATATTATTATAAGCATAGACTTTGGTGGAATTAAAATATGATCAAGATCAATTAGCGCTCGAGTAAATTATAGATCTGAACGGGCATCCTCACTCGCAACGCCCTCGACCAACCCACTGTCACCTCAACTCTCGCGAAATATTCCCTGGCTACATAACAATGGCGGAAGGTCGGGACGAGAGCCACATTGCCAGATACTGGTATCGGCACGACAATGCTAGCAGTGTGAGAATCGTCCGCTTTCTCAATCCACTGCAGACCAACGGAGTTATTCTTCCATGAACAAATACTCGCCCGGAAAAACTGTCCTTGTCCATTCACTGCGCTCTGCCAATCCGGTAGTTCGACCATTGGCGACAAAGTAAAATACGTCACAGCCTCCAAAGTGACTTTGACCTGACAATTGTCTGGAAAGGTGGACTCCGGAAGTAGGCATTCGAGGCCGAGATTCAAGCGGATAGGAGTCATAGTTGATCCATGACGTTGGTCCGGAGGTAGGTAGAGCGGCTTTGCCTCTTGCGCACGCACCGTTACGTGCCCCATTTTCGCTCCCAGTAGACTCATCCGCAGCCCTGTCGAATCGGACATCTGAATCCCACTACCTTCTCCCTCTGGCCACAGACGAGGTGGCTTTTCAGGGTATAAAGGGAGGAGCTGGATCTGCCGTGTGGCACGAAGTCGCTGATTACTGATATCCACCTCGGCATGGACGTAGTAGATAATGCTGCACATCTCAGGACAGTACTTATCCGAGTTATAGTCAATGCTCGGGGGTAACTGGAGATGATCCTTTCCATGATGAGCAGCTGTTCTAGACGGAATATGCTCAGAACATGGGTCGGATGGGAGAGCATCAGGGATGACAAATGAGAAAGGGAAGATGCGAGGATGATGCGATGATTCCTGAATTCCAATGTGGTGCATTTGGAGAAAGTTGTAGTCGACTATACTACCGCTGTTGGGGAAGGGCGTGGTCTTTGCTACGGTTGTTGATGTTCTTCCTGTGGTGGTATGTCAGTCTATGTTTAGTTCTAGATGCGCATGTTAGGGTTAGTTTGGTTGTCATACCAATTAATGTTATGGAAATGTTAGCGCTTTGGGGAACATTCCTTTGGTGGATGACCAGTTCGCCCTGGAGTCTTTCGCCGGTTGTGAAGACTGTTTGTTTACTGGTTAGACGGATCTCCATCGCGGGAGTAGGAGAGAGGCTTGCGACAAGTTGGGGGATATATTGGGCTGACTTCATCTTTCTTGAAGGATTAGGTTATTTGGCATAGATCAAGATGAGCTGAAGATCGAAGATGATAAAGTCGTGACTGTTGTATGAAATGAGTCTGCAGCAGAGCACCGTCTCCCCCCCATCCTTTTATAGTCCTGCAAAACCCACATGATTACGTTCACACCGTCTAATGCAAAATTGAAGTGAATGGAGGGGAAATCAGGAAAAGATGATGGAAAGGTGACTTGCTTCGGCATGAGTTACCTTTAGCTGTATCTCAATCGCTAACGGCAGTTGTGTCCGAATCCGCCGACCCTTAAGCTTCTTGGCAGGCTGTTCATGGCGACATCGGGACCAATCTAATGAGTCACCCTGACTTTAGTGAGTACCGGATCCTGGTTCCAGGGCTAAGGATCAGGGCTAGACCCCATTTCATTGTTTTTCTCAGGGTAGACTAGTAGTGAATGTGTCGATACCCAAGGGTTCAATTCCAATTCCTTATATTATACAATAAATTTATCCAAAAAAAGGTCATCACTCATGACAATAATGGGACCTAGTCGTCGCTATCATCACTGACGACGTATCGACTTGTTTTATGTGCATTGTTGCGCTCAGCGCTCTGAGTAAGAAGGGTAGCGAGGTCAGGGGGATCAAAGTTGTCGTCCGAGTCATCATCCTTGCTTTTTTGGGACGAATAAAACGGCTGTTGTTTCTGGCAGTTCACAACAGAAGACAATAGTTGTTCCGGGGTCATCGGTTGAGAGTCCTCAGCAGACGGGGTCTCCTTATCTACCGATGCGGACAAATGGTTAGAACGAGATTTGGTTTTTGATAGTGTTCTACGGCGCTCACGACGAGGCGACAGGCTGGGGACCACCGAGTCGTCCTGCCTGGCTGACTCCAGGGCAAGAATCTTCTTAAAGCGTTCTTCACAGTCCGGGCCAACGCTATTCATCTTTCGTAACGTTCCGATCATACGACGTGTCAAAGATCCGTGTTTCACAACCTTCGTAGGTCTTGCGACGAGCTGGAGGCGAGGAAATACATCATTGCGAGGGTTGCGGATGAATTGTGGGCTAGTGGCCCCAATATTGCGATAGTGTTGCTCCAGCTCTCTTTGCTGTGCCGAGGTCAGTACAACTTCTTCAAGAGCCGGTATCTCCACCGGCTCCGGGGTCGGCATCCGAGGCTTCCTATTCTTCTCGGCTTTTGACTTGGGTCCCGCTGCCAGGGATGAAGCTTTAGTGAAGCCGGTTTCGACATTGTCAGGCATGTGGAACTTCTTGGGTGGCCTTTTTGGCGCTCGTCCTCGTCTTTTTGGCTCTGGTAAGCCCTGTTCCCCATTTTCGTCCGGGATATCAATATGGCGTTTATCCGCTACCGGCCGTATGCCCGCTGGCAGAATGCGGGGGGAGATATCATCGTGAAAGGTAAAGCGGGACCCACTAGCAATCATTTGTTGCATCTTCTCATAGTTATCCTTGGCTTTGATGTACGACTCTTCCTCCTTGCCCTCCATAAGGAGGAGGACGATGTTTCCAGCCCTCTTTCGTCCTGTACGCCCCATCCGTTGAAGCATCCGGATTGGCGATGCAGAAGAGTCATAACATACGATGAGGTCGACTTCTCCGATATCTAAACCTTCCTCGCCAATGGAGGTTGCGACAATTGTATTGTACGTGCCCTTTTTAAAATTCTGAACTATACTGAGTTGGGTCTTTTGGCCCATGCCCTCAGAGCCCTTCGCGCTGGATTGCCCAACGAAAACGTGAGGCCGGATCATGGGCTCATATCTTTTCAGTACCCTCGTCACTTCTTCGGCACTGTCCCGGAAGTGGACAAAAATCATAATTCTCGTGGATGACTGGCTGCCATTTGCTTCTCCATTGGACCCTTCACCAGCATCCATAAAATGATTCAGAACAACCGATTTCAGATATTCTAGCTTTGGATGTCCGATAAACTCCGGATCCTTGGTCCACGGCTGAAGATGACTCATAAGCTTCTTAAAGCTCTCATCCTGAACAACTTGTCGCTGATATTTGCCACCTTTCTGGCCCTCCGTGTTGGACTGGAAGTGCAAGAGGTGACGATAGAAGGGCGTAATTCCGTGATACTTGAGAAGATCGATAGCATGTGCCAAGCTTGCGAGAACGGTGAATATTGCGTTGACCTTGCCCTTGAGTCCGAAGTGTGCGTTTCGACCGGCATCTGAAGCCATCCACTGCTGCCTAGATTTAGTGAGCCCAAATGCAGTGAGCATCATCGGGTCTCTTCCCCAGTATGCATTGAGGGTGCGGAGCTGATCGACAAGCGGTTGCAGAGTTTTAGAGAGAAGGTCCATACAGAGGACCATCTCCTCGGAGTTCTTGAAGGTCTGGACTTCGGTGTTCCTCGTATGAACGTACTCCCGGATATCCAGAGATTGCTCGGTGCGTATCTCGACTCTAGCTATATCAAGTCCATCGATGACGGTTTGAACAGACTCCACTGTGGAGCCCGGAGTCGCCGTCAGAGCCAGGACACGGAAGCTCTGGTTATATCGGCGAAGGAACTTCACAACTTCCACGTACGCGTAGCCACCTGTCGCGCGATGTGCTTCATCAACAACAAGCAGGACAATCCGTTTCGGGTCTGCTATGCCGGACTTGAGATCATTGATGAGCGTTTGTGGAGTCATAAAAAACACCCGCTTATTCTGCCATTCCTCTGCTCGAATACCTGGTGCAGCCTCGCCGGTGAGCATGGTTGTCTGGGATCGTGGAATTCCCGCTATACCAAAACAGGCGGAGATTTGCTGAGCCACAAGGGGTTTTGTGGGTGCCACAAAGATAATCTGCGCACTTTGGGTCCACCGGAACCAGTTAAGCATAATTGTCGCTGCGATAAAAGTCTTTCCTAGACCCGTGGGGAGTGCTACAAGCAGGTTGTGAAATAACCCTTTCTGAGCGATATTGAATTGATAGTCTCTCGTTTTGCCAAGGTTTGTTGGATAGACCCAGGTACTAAGAGCCCCTTGATCTAGCTTATGCTGCGTCGGGGGCTCATCCTTTTCTGGTGGAGACCATACCTGCTCTCCAATAGGCGGTTGGGCTGTTTGGTTTCGGGATGTCATGTCGAATAATGAGGTTTGACGGATACCGAGCGGGCGGTTTGAGGACTGCGAAAATTGCCTGGTCGCGGGTTGAGGCTGAACTCTAGTTGGCGGAGACAAGGATAGATCCGAGTCAAACGCATCGTCGGGTATATCTTCGAGAAGGAAGGATGTATCTGTTGCACCCTCATTTTGTAATGCAGGCGAGCGCGTGGTTGGTTGAGGTGTCGGGCCTTTTGTGTTTGAAGGCGGAGGCCAGGATTGTTCGTTCTCGAACGACTCTAGCGACGCTGCAATAGCCGCATTCAGGTCGTCGTCGTTATAATCATCGCCACTTGCAGCAGGCGCTTTCGGTGCTGCTCTTCTTTCCCCGCTCGTCTGTGCTGGTATGGTGCTGGCTCTCGCGATACTGGGCTCTGGCTTTTTCCAGCGGGGTCCACGAATCATTTCAGGTGGTGACGGCGGCTGAGTCAATTGGGTGACAAATATATTCTCCTGAATATTGCTGCGCTTGGGAATGAACACTTTGTACTTGGACGGGGCTTCCGCGTCTTCGAAGTACGAGTCTTGGCTGGGCGACTGCAGCTCATCGTGAGTGCCCTCATCATCGTCGACTACAAAGGAGTCAGAGCCAGTCTGCGGGCTACCATCATCACTGTCTTGTTCCGACTGTCTATTCCCGGACGACCGTCGTCTCACACCAGACGCGGTACCATCCAGGCGGCGACGCTTGGCTGACCGCGGGGAAGACCCGGCTGTGTTTTGCGCGGCATCGGGGAATTCATCATCTGTTAAATCATCAAATCCCTCATTAAAATAATCGACCGAGCTATCATCCGAGCCAGTCATGTCGAGCTGGACTTTTTGGTGGCGTGATATCCGGCCTTGCGATTTCTACACTCAATACTCTTCATTTCCGCGCGACGCGGTGACGCGAAATCATGTGAACGATATTGATGTTTGCTTTGTTTGTGTTGATAAGCAATCAACCCAATCAGGACCGGCACATGACAAGCCGCCAGTCAACCAACCGTTTCCAAGTCAGGGAAAGTGTTCTACCTAATTCAGTCATTGTAACACTACCTCAATCGTACTCTATCAGTACCTCAATTTACTAGTCGACAGTATCAATACGGCAGTAATTCACGGTGGAAGGCCAAAGAATGAACTAGTCGCTTGTAACCTCATAAATTGCCACTGACATGTCACTTGGACAACAATCCAAAGTCTGCAGCAGCACTAAGAAGGTCCACAGCTCGTGTGGCCACCCAAAGAGTGGGACAACAGGACAACACCCGAGTCTAAGACTCTAAGGGGGCACACTAGGGGCTATTTTTGGCCGTCAATGGATACCCCCCAGATTTTCACTCTTCAAAAGTTCACAGACCCTTCCACTAAGACCAACGTGCGAGGAGAACATTCAATTAGGGCCAACCGTCATCTGACTGATCACAAACACCAATTGTCCAGCAGGCGAAGCTCACTGTAACCTTCTCCCTTACAGCGTCCCCCAACGAATGGTGGCAGGCAAAGTGGTGGATGGAACCACCACTTACTAGTAGTAACTTTGGAGACTAGACCAAAGTTGCAACGTCCCAAGAGAGCCCTGGAGGCTTCTCGATCTTGTCGGCCTATAAACTTGGAAAAGTCCGCCGGGCCATCTACAGGGTCGCTTGATTTTACTGGTCCGTCAGGGTCTTAGCCGAAGCTCTAGTGAAACCCGACGAATCAGATCACTCCAATGACGAGAAAATGAGTATCCGAGTTTCAATCATACGGCAACAACCCTGATACTAAATTACCTTTGCTTGGAATTGTCCCCTGTCGTTTTGAAAAAAGAAAAAAGAAATTGAAATTGAAAGAAAATAAAATTCACCCTAAACCAAGGAAGAGTAAAAATAAAATAAAAGACTGGGCAACCCCCCGCTTTAGGTAGCTTTAATTAAATCCCCGTCTTTCTCCTTTGCTTTCTTTCTCTTTCTCCCTTTTCTCTCCACAGTCCTTCGTTAACTACTAACTACTACTTGTCGCATTTGTATACACTCGTTAATTCCTTCGAGTTTTATTATCGCTTCAGCGTCTTTGTCATTTTCAACCCGTCAAGATGAAGCTCAACCTCATTGCTCTGGCTTCGCTGGTCGCCTTGACCGCGGCCCAGTCGACCGACTCTGCGTCTGACTCTGCTACTGGCACTACAGCTGCTCCTTCGACGACTGTCAGCTTGAGTCCTCAACAATCCTGCGCTAAGAAGTGTACGTTGCCCTTATTTTTTTTGCCCATCTTGTTCTCTCTTGTCCCTATACAAAGTTGCCAAGTACACTGCGAAACTGACCAAAGCAGGCGACCAAACGGATCTGTGCTGCATCGCTGGATGCTTCCAGGTTCCTTGCCCCAACGATTCTCAGGCCAACGACACCAACACTTGCGTCGCTGCCTGCCCCCAGGGCAGTGGCACTCCATCTGACACTGAGCGCTATGCTGCCTGCCAGAGCTCCTGCTACAGCAGCCACTTCTTCCCCATCACTGCCACGGGTAACTCTGGAGCTTCCAAGACCTCCGCCAGCGACTCCGATGCCACCACCACCGGTACTGGCAAGGACAGCTCTTCCACTGGTTCCAGCGGTATGTAACTTGGAAAAATCACGTTAATGTGCGGTCTGGATCCAAGAACTAACATGCAATGATAGAATCCTCCGGCTCCCGCTCCTCGGGCTCTAAGTCTTCTGGCACTGGTACCAGCACTGGATCTGCTGCCAGCGGTACCGAGACCAATGCTGCCTCTGTCGCCAAGCTTCAGCTGGGCGCCTCTGCCGCCGGTATTGCTGGTCTCGCTCTCGGTATCTTGGCTCTGTAAATGAGCTTGGCTTCTTGATTTGGTGATCTCACGCGGGATGGTTAATGGGAGAATGTAAAAGGATGGAGAGGTATTAATCGGTATAAGGATGTCGCATAATGGGTTTACCTACATAGTTGTACTTCTGCGCTGTAATATTGATTCCCAAGCACTTTTGTCGTTAATTGCATCGGTATTAGCTAATACAACTGCTTCCCCAAGCTGATCCTCGACATTCCTCTCCAGGTTGAAAATGACTACAGTCCTGTAACCACTTCGTAAACGAGGAAACAGACCAAGTAAGCAAATGCCCACTTGGTACATTAATCAAACGTCAGCAACAAGTCCTGACATTAAAGGGGGGGGCAAATTCATGTAAGGGGAATAGGGCTGTGTTCAATTCCGCGACCCCTTTATCTGCAGTTAGAGTTCATCCCTAGTAAGTAAAGAAGGACGACGATCCAAGGGAAAGTCTAGGCCATACAAAATACAAAATTTAGACAAACTAAAGAATCTAGCAGATGCAAGACAAGCTCCGTTCACGATATGACGTGCTGATCAACGTAGTCAAATTTGCAGGATGTACTCCGTACCGACCTATGCAAAGATCGTCTCTCCACACCCCCACACCCTTAATTCACATCACATAATCCATATATCATATATCTCTGATTCTTTCCAGCCACCCATACCCTATTCATACTCCAGGTACCACAACCAATCAGGAATACCCCAATTCAAGACTCACCCATAGTACTCCGTTCCTAACCAGTTCAATTTAAAACCTCCCTAGAAACAATCTCCGACAACTTCCCAGCAACCTCCGCAATGAACCCCTTATTCTGCATACCATCGACCCATTCCGTCGGTATCGACTCAACCCCATAAAAGGCGCCCGCTAACCCCCCGTAAACCGCCGCCGCTGTGTCAGCGTCGCCTCCTAGGTTTGCCACTGCCAAAGCGCCTTCGGCCCAATAATCATACTTGAAAAATCCCCATAGGGCCACTTCGAGCGTATCTACGACCCATCCGCTGCTGCGCATTTCCGGGGCGGATTTCGCTTGCCAGTCGGATACGGTCTTGTAGCTGCAGAGTCGCTGTGTGAGGGCACTGTCTGTGAACTTGTACTCGTTAATTATATTGCAAATGTGCTCTTTGCTTTTGCCTGGTGTCGGTCAGCACAGTCAGCAAACATTTCCCCCTGAA